AGGGACAAACTTCAGGGGGGTCGCCCGCCCCCCAGACCACTGCTTACACCTTTTAATCAACAATGCTCTAACACTTTTTATCAGAAACCGCTTACAAGTTAATCAGACACTGCTACCAATTTTAATCAGAACACGCTCACACACTGTTAAATCAGAAACTCTCTCCCCTTTTAATCAGACAATGCTCTCCCATTTTAATCAGACACATGCTCTCACATGTTAACAGACACCTGCTTACACACTGTTAATCAAAACTGCCTAACACTTTTTAACAGACAGACTGCTTACACACTTTTAATCAACAATGTCTACCATGTTAATCAGAACCCCACCCTTAACAACGGTTAACCCTTAATCGACCCACTGCTTACACATGTTAATTCGACAACTGCTTACACATTTTAACAGCAACTGTTAACCCCCTGTAATCGCCCCAACTGCTCTACACACTTTAAATCGACAGACTGCTTACCCCTTTAATCAGACACACTGCCAATTTTAAAAAAGCTTACACCCCCGGAAAAATGCTTTAAACCCCTTTTTCAAAAATCCACACACAACAGAAACCACACCTTACACCTTAACCAATCCTCCCTTTCCCTGCTCTACCCCGTTACAGACAACGTTACACCTGTTAATCAGACAGACTCCCAAAACCCTTTTAAACCCCCCCCAACTGTTAATCAACGACTGCTCTACACACTTTTTAATAGACAGATTTGCCTACCCCTGTTATCAGACAGACTGTCTACACACTTTTTAATCAGAAGAGTCACACACTTTTAATCAGACACACGCTCTACACACTGTTAATCAGACAGACTGCTCTACACACTGTTAATCAGACAGACTGCTCTACACACTGTTAATCAGACAGCAGTGTTCTAAACCCTGTCAATCAGACAGCAGTGTTCTAAACCCTGTCAATCAGACAGCAGTGTTCTAAACCCTGTCAATCAGACAGCAGTGTTCTAAACCCTGTCAATCAGACAGCAGTGTTCTAAACCCTGTCAATCAGACAGCAGTGTTCTAAACCCTGTCAATCAGACAGCAGTGCAACCTGCCATGAGTTGGAAATTACCTCAGAGATGGCAGGGCAAACAGCCAATCATGGCAACTGATTATATTAGTTAAAGGGACAATGCACTTCCAAATCTAAGTTTTGCATGAAGTTTTGTCAGATTCTACTAATAACAATAATCTGAAATAAACAGCTACTATATTCTCTCTTCATTAACAATAACAACTATTGTATCACATAGCTAATTACATAGTTGAGTTGAGGGTGAGTGATGAGGACAACAGTGGGTTTGGCACCCTATGGGGCCTATGGGTCAGAGGGGAATCTGCTCTGGAGCTGCGTCCCAAATGGCACCCTATTCCCTATATAGTGCACTACTTTTGACCAAAACCCATAGCGCCCGATAGGGAATAGGGTGCCATTTGGGACACTGAGAATCACCCAGCAGGAGACAAGCATGAGGAAACCAGTAGAAACACAACTGATCCACAACATCAACATGTTCTATCATTCTTTCCATTCTTCTTCCCCATCCATCCATCGCTTCACAATTCACACTTCAACTCTCTGCATCCTTCTGTTTCGCTCACTCCATTTTCCCAAAGATATGGTGGTCAATAAACCAGAGAGGTTGAAAAAGTACAACCCTTGACAGCTCGACAGGGTCTGACTCAAATGAAAGCAGAGAGACAAAAATGTCTTCCTCATTTGTTGGGAACTGGAGTCTTAATGTGTGCCCAAATGGCACCCTATTCCATATATCGTTTTTTGACCAGCTTCCTATGGGCACTGGTCAAAAGTAGTGCACTAAATAGGGAGCCATTTGTGACTTACATTAGAATTAGTGAAGCATTTTCCCTCCAGATTGGATTCAGGAGCTTGGGGCTTAATCAAGTGGAAACTGGGGATGGGGAGTGTGGGGGTGGCCAGGGGTAGGGTAGTAGAATAGTAGAATGGGGTAATTGTTGTCAGGAAAGCCCTCATGTCGAGTCTGCTTTGATGTCTTCCTGCAGGGATAGAGTGAATTTCTACAGTAGCATTCAACCCCATTGCCAATTTTTGTTTGCACAAGTGTGCAGATGGACATTTTCTTAGCAGTTTACTAGCAAATTATTTGGAGCAATTTCTTACTTTCTCTGTAAAGTATGTTGTGAAATGCACTTTAAATGAATTGTAACTTGACTAGTTTGTGCACTAATTTACAACATGAATGTATAATATATAATTGTCAGGTATGAGGCATTTTCCCCAAAATGTTTTTAAATAGCTTAATTACCCGACTTCTGACCGCACAATCCTGTGATCTGTAATGTGTTCCATCCATGTCAGTCATTCTTTATCTCTCTCTCTCTCTCTCTCCCCCGTGACAATATCAATATTCACGAAAGATTCATTCTCTCTTTCCTAGTGCCTCTAGATTCCTCCTCTCTTTCCCAGTGCCTCTATAATAGCAAACAAGCTCCCACTGATCCTTTGTGTCGCAAAGCCTTTCTCATGCATGTCTTGAATGAAAGCCAGCGTATCGACGGGCTAAGGATAATCACGTTTAGAAAGGCTTAGCGTCTCTAAACGAAGCTGCACTGTGTTTCTGCCTCTTGTCTCAAACACTATTATTGTTTTACTGGGGAGAAAACATCAAGAGCCTCAAATTAGTTGTTTGGGAATGTGTACGTAGCCCGTGGACAGGCTATGTGAGAGCATGCAATGCAGAACACAACGTATAGAGCAATGCAAAACTATATTGCCCATATAGCAGCCAAAAAATCATGGGTTTGGGTTGATTTAAATCGGTGTTGTTAAAATGGAAAGTTTGACAACTGCACTTTGAACACAAATTAAAAATAACGTTTTTAGATAAATCAAGTCTACCTGTCGGAATGTCAAGCGCAACGACGCGTCGCTTACCTTTTTGGTTTAGTTCTCACACAGGTGCACAGTTCTATCTGCGACGCTTCCTGTCCCTCCCGCGACACATCCGAGGTCACCAAATGTCCATCTTCGCTGACCGTTGTCCAACTCCTGCGCGATGGAATGAACTAAACACGTTTCAAAGTTGTGAACTAAATCGTAGTTACAACAAGTTGTGACTTCACTGTAAAGAAGGGACGTGCAGAATTTGAGGTGCATTATTCTCAGCCTCCAGCGTAGGATTCTTAAGATGGAAATTGCCAGTTGTCAGTGTTGGAGGAGGTTCTCTCAACAGCACAAAGTGGATATTTGCATTTAGGCGACCCTCCCCTCGCCTTTCATTGCTGCCATTGTTTGTCACAGCCCGGGTTCTTATCCTTGATGGCCCGAGCTCAAAGAGCGCAGCGCACCCGGGAGTTGCGCTACTCGGTAATTACAATGTCGTATATGTCGTGGTGGGAAACACAAAATTAGCCTACTATAGAGACAGACCGTTCATCTACGCGCAAATCTAATCTACAGAGAGAATACAGAGAGACAATAGGCCTACAACAGCGAGGGAATTCCAAATGGGTTGCCAATATTGACAAAGCGGCAGGCCTTCAGTAAAACAAGCTTATATTTTGGGTTCTAGGGTAAGACAGCTCATGAGACATTTATAAGTTGTATGAGGCATTTATAAGTTATATTTTTCAAGAATCAATGGCTATATATAATTAATTTATAAGTCAAAAAATGGGATGTAAAAAATCCCAGATTGCTCATATCAATCCCTCCTAAAGAAAAGTGTGTCACTCAGTTTTGCTGACCGACGTTGTACGCATCGGATACATAGATTATACATTCAATTTGTAAGACATTTTTCATTGACAAACAATCACAAAGCAGACAGTTGCAGAATGCACTCTCCCTCCTGGCAGCAGCAGGTGTCCTCTAGTGGCCTTCTCCATCCCGGAACATGGTGTTCTGCTATTTCTAACCACACCGGGGCAGTACAGCACCATACTTTCACACATGGTACAAACAACCTTGAAGCCTTCTTGGACAAAACAGGGCTAGGAAACGTAACAAAATGAATATATATATATATAATGTTTATTAAAATACATAAACGACAAAGACATATATGCATTATTATAATTCATGATGAAATAACATGCATATAAATACAGTATAATTATACAGTAAAATGTGTATACATATATAGATTTTTATGCTTATATAGGGAGATATATTTTTGCATTAAAACTGGCAGTGGTGATTTGATATTGTTCCTCTGGTTCTGGAAGCCCTTGAGTCCAACAGCAGGGTTCCGGTTCCAATGAGGGAGTAATAGAAGTAGCCTATAGAGAACAGCTAAGGAGCAGCACCTAACACCTGAGATACACCGTTGGGAGGAAAGCTCTCACACACAGACACACAACCCACTCTGAAAGACAGGCTCTGTCCCAAATGTCACCCTATTCCCTAAATAGTGCACTACTTTAAACTAGAGCCCTATGGGCCCTGGTCAAAGGTAGTGCACTATAAAGGCAATAGGGTACCATTTGGGACGAACGAGACAGTACTTAGCTTCTGGGAACAAGCAAATCTATGGGTGAACACCAAGGAGGAAATTATGTCACTTTTGACGACCTCTGACCTCTGTCCACATAGAGCTGTACTGTTTCTGGTATCCCTTTGTGAACATCCATGTGTAGAGTAGCTTGGTCCATGTGTAGAGAGGAGTAGCTTAGTCCAGCAGGACGTTTAAACTCATTTGATTCAGATTCAGAACTGTGCCATAGAAAACGTCTTACAAAACTGCACCAGCATGTCTTCAGCAACCCTCTACAATCCAATACCTACAGCAGTCAGGTCAGCCACACTCCAGTTTCCATCGGTGTGTCTGATCCCAGGACATCTCAGGGAAACTGTCTGGCTCTGGCAGCTTGCCTGGCACAAAATGGAGGAGGGTTCAGATCCTGGGCTGTCTGAATGGCACTGTGTTATATAGTGCACTACATTTGGCCAAGGTCTACAGGGTTAGCGTCAGGGCTAACCAATAGGGCTCTGGTCAAAAGTAGTGCACTATATAGGGAATAGGGTGCCATCTCAGACTGGGCAGCCTCAGGACAGAAGTGGAAACATTCCCATTGGGTGAGGAGGTTGAGTCCTTTTTCAGACAGACGGGTGTGGTCAGTCGGTCCTTTGACTGTTACTGTGACTCTGACCGAGACTGCGGCCCTATTGGGTCATGTCTGGTGGTGATGGTGGTAGTGGTGGTGGTGGTGGTGTTCGTGGTGGTGGTGGTGCTCGTGACGCTGCACCAGAGGCAACACAAAGGACCCAGGGCTGCCGGGCGGGCAAGACCCCTGATCCCTCTCCCTCTCAAGGGAAGGAGGAGGCGGGGGAGCCTGCTGCTGATGCTGGGGATGGGAGTGAGGGGACAGGGGCGTTTTGGACGGGGACATGCCCTGACCCTCCCTGGCTTTGGCCCGGAGCCGTTTGCTGTGGCTGTGCTGCAGAGGGTGCTGGTGGTGGCTGGAGGAGGGCAGGGGCTGGTGGGGGAGATGGGGAGGTGGTACACATCCTGTCCTCCGTGACCCCCAGATGAGGAGTTCCCTGTATGCAGCACGGTCTGGAGATGAGGAGGGTGAGGAGGGTAGTACCCCCCGCCGTGGCATTTACTGGACTTGCCCCTTTCAATTCCCCCGTTGGTCCCTCCGCCGCCGGCTCCTTTAGATGTTCCTTTGGGGGACTTGAGGAAGTGCGCCGCGCTCCGACCCCGGGCTTCTAGAGGGGTGTAGTTCTCACCGATGACCTGCGAGCGGCGCTGGTAGGAATGGGCGGCGTGGGCCTCGGGCTCCTGGGAACGGGAGCGGTTCTGGGACTGGGAGGTCCGCACATGAGTCTCCTGGGGGGGCGGGGGAGGGGTGGATCCTGGAGGAGGGAGAGAGACACGCACACACACACGGGGGGTGGAGGTGGTGGGGGAGAGACACGCACACACACACGGGGGGGTGGGGGTGGTGGGGGGGATGTTTTAGAGGTACGGTTAGTCCAAAGTTCAAAGGACATAGTTAAAGGTTTGGGGAAAATTGTGATATATAATAAATCCAGTGCCTTCAGAAAGTATTCAGACCCCTTGACTTTTTCCACATTTTGATGTGTTACAGCCTGAATTTAAAATGGATTAAATTGAGATTTTGTGTCACTGGCCTACACACAATACCTCATAATGTTAAAGCGGAATTATGTTTATATTTTTTATTTTTTACAAATTAATACAAAATTAAAAGCTGAAATGTCTTGTCAATAAGTATTCAACCCCTTTGTTATGGCAAGCCTAAATAAGTTCAGGAGTAAAACTGTGCTTAACAAGTCACATAATAAGTTGCATGGACCTACTCTGTGTGCAATAATAGTGTTTAACATGATTTTGTTATGACTACCTCATCTCTGTACCCCACACATACAATTATCTGTAAGGTCCCTCAGTCGAGCAGGGAATTTCAAACACAGATTCAACCACAAAGACCAGGGAGGTTTTTCAATGCACCTATTGGTAGATGGGTAAAAATAAAAAAAGCAGACATCGAATATCCCTTTGAGCATGGTGAAGTTATGAATTACACTTTGGATGGTGTATCAATACACCCAGTCACTACAAAGATACAGTTTTACAGTTCCAATGCTTCTACAATATCACCGGTTTGCAAAAATTCAAAAAACAGATCCCAAATATCATGAAATATCATTTTTCAAGAGCCAGGCTTGATGTTAATTATTTTATTAAACCCTTTTTAATCCTACACAACAAAATGTGTAAAAAGTCAAGGGGTGTGAATCCTTTCTGAAGGCACTGGATACTGTATGTTATATAATAGTTCACTACAAGGCCACATTATTCTCTTGAGGTTTAGTTTGCTATCTGGCTACAACACGTTGTAGTTGTTTGTACAGGGGAGAGATAAGCTGAGTGGTACCAACCTTCAAACCTGGAGGTGTAGTTCTCTATACCGGCTAGGTCCAGATAGTGATTCCTCCTCTCAGTGTTCTCATCCACACAGTAATGCTGTCCCTCTGGGGAGGGTGGCTCACTGCTCTGACCTGGGTGGGCTGGCCTGATGTAGGACGACAGACGTCTGTTAGGGTGTCTGTGGTAGTGCCGTGTGTGTGTGTGTGTGTGTGTGTTTTGAGTACGTGCTGACCTGATGTGAGGAGAAAGCCGTCTGTCTGCTGATCGGCCTTCCTCCTGGTGAAGGCGACTGGACTCCCGGTCTGAGGAGAGACAACAACACATAAACAACAACAGCTACATCCCATTGAGAGACAGAATACAGCCATGATAAAGAGTTCCCATACATGTTCCTCTCTCTCTCTCTCTCTCTCTCTCTCTCTCTCTCTCTCTCTCTCTCTCTCTCTCTCTCTCTCTCTCTCTCTCTCTCTCTCTCTCTCTCTCTCTCTCTCTCTCTCTCTCTCTCTCTCTCTCTCTCTCTCTCAATTCAATTCAATTCAATATAAGGGGCTTTATTGGCATGGGAAACATATGTTAACATTGCCAAAGCAAGTGAAATAGATAACAAAAGTGAAATGAACGATCAAAAAATTAACACTCACAAAAGTTCCAAAAGAATAAAGAAATTTCAAGTGTCATATTATCTCTATATACAGTGTTATAATGATGTGCAAATAGTTAAAGTACAAAAAGGAAAATAAATAAACATAAATATAGGTTGTATTTACAATGGTGTTTGTTCTTCACTGGTTGCCCTTTTCTTGTGGCAACAGGTCACAAATATTGCTATTTCACCCAATAGATATGGGAGTTTATCCAAATTGGATTTGTTTTTCGAATTCTTTGTGGGTCTGTGTAATCTGAGGGAAGTACGTGTCTCTAATATGGTCATACATTTGGTAGGAAGTTAGGAAGTGCAGCTCAGTTTCCACCTCATTTTGTGGTCTGCCTACGGCTGCCTTTTTCAATAGCAAGGCTATGCTCACTGAGTCTGTACATAGTCAAAGCTTTCCTTAAGTTTGGGTCAGTCACAGTGGTCAGGTATACTGCCACTGTGGACTCTCTGTTTAGGGCCAAGTAGCATTCTAGTTTGCTCTGTTTTTTTGTAAATTCTTTCCAATGTGTCAAGTAATTCTCTTTTTGTTTTGTCATGATTTGGTTGGGTCTAATTGTGTTGCTGTCCTAGGGCTCCGTGGGGTCTGTTTGTGTTTGTGAACAGAGCCCCAGGACCAGCTTGCTTAAGGGACTCTTCTCCAGGTTCATCTCTCTGTAGGTGATGGCTTTGTTATGGAAGGTTTGGGAATCGCTTCCTTTTAGGTGGTTGTAGAATTTAACAGCTATTTTCTGGATTTTGATCATTAGCGCGTTTCGGCCTAATTCTGCTCTGCATGCATTATTTGGTGTTTTACGTTGTACAGAGAGGATTTTTTTTTGCAGAATTCTGCATGCAGAGTCTCAATTTGGTGTTTGTCCCATTTTGTGAATTATTGGTTGGTGAGCGGACCCCAGACCTCACAACCATAAAGGGCAATGGGTTCTATAACTGATTCAAGTATTTTTAGCCGGATCCTAATTGGTATGTCGAATTTTATGTTCCTTTTGATGGCATATAAGGCCCTTCTCTCTCTAATATATATATATATATATATATATATATATATATATATATATATACAGTGGGGGAAAAAAGTATTTAGTCAGCCACCAATTGTGCAAGTTCTCCCACTTAAAAAGATGACAGAGGCCTGTAATTTTCATCATAGGTACACGTCAACTATGACAGACAAAATGAGGAAAAAAAATCCAGAAAATCACATTGTATGATTTTTTATGAATTTATTTGCAAATTATGGTGGAAAATAAGTATTTGGTCAATAACAAAAGTTTCTCAATACTTTGTTATATACCCTTTGTTGGCAATGACACAGGTCAAACGTTTTCTGTAAGTCTTCACAAGGTTTTCACACACTGTTGCTGGTATTTTGGCCCATTCCTCCATGCAGATCTCCTCTAGAGCAGTGATGTTTTGGGGCTGTCGCTGGGCTAACACAGACTTTCAACTCCCTCCAAAGATTTTCTATGGGGTTGAGATCTGGAGACTGGCTAGGCCACTCCAGGACCTTGAAATGCTTCTAACGAAGCCACTCCTTCGTTGCCCGGGCGGTGTGTTTGGGATCATTGTCATGCTGAAAGACCCAGCCACGTTTCATCTTCAATGCCCTTGCTGATGGAAGGAGGTTTTCACTCAAAATCTCACGATACATGGCCCCATTCATTCTTTCCTTTACACGGATCAGTCGTCCTGGTCCCTTTGCAGAAAAACAGCTCCAAAGCATGATGTTTCCATCCCCATGCTTCACAGTAGGTATGGTGTTCTTTGGATGCAACTCAGCATTCTTTGTCCTCACTCCATGTCAACTCGTCGTGTTTTTACCAAAAAGTTCTATTTTGGTTTCATCTGACCATATGACATTCTCCCAATCCTCTTCCAAATGCACTCTAGCAAACTTCAGATGGGCCTGGACATGTACTGGCTTAAGCAGGGGGACACGTCTGGCACTGCAGGATTTGAATCCCTGGCGGCGTAGTGTGTTACTGATGGTAGGCTTTGTTACTTTGGTCCCAGCTCTCTGCAGGTCATTCACTAGGTCCCCCCGTGTGGTTCTGGGATTTTTGCTCACCGTTCTTGTGATCATTTTGACCCCACGGTGTGAGATCTTGCGTGGAGCCCCAGATCGAGGGAGATTATCAGTGGTCTTGTATGTCTTCCATTTCCTAATAATTGCTCCCACAGTTGATTTCTTCAAACCAAGCTGCTTACCTATTGCAGATTCAGTCTTCCCAGCCTGGTGTAGGTCTACAATTTTGTTTCTGGTGTCCTTTGACAGCTCTTTGGTCTTTGGAGTTTGGAGTGTGACTGTTTGAGGTTGTGGACAGGTGTCTTTTATACTGATAACAAGTTCAAACAGGTGCCATTAATACAGGTAACGAGTGGAGGACAGAGGAGCCTCTTAAAGAAGAAGTTACAGGTCTGTGAGAGCCAGAAATCTTGCTTGTTTGTAGGTGACCAAATATTTATTTTCCACCATAATTTGCAAATAAATTCATTAAAAATCCTACAATGTGATTTTCTGGATTTTTTTTTCTCATTTTGTCTGTCATAGTTGACGTGTACCTATGATGAAAATTACAGGCCTCTCTCAACTTTTTAAGTGGGAGAACTTGCACAATTGGTGGCTGACTAAATACTTTTTTCCCCACTATATATATATATATATATATATATATATATATCCCTCCCTCCATGTCTCTTACCTGGTCCAGTGGAGATGTGATCTCTTACCTGGTCCAGTGGAGGTTTGGTCTCTTACCTGGTCCAATGGAGGTATGGTCTCTTACCTGGTCCAGTGGAGGTGTGGTCTCTTACCTGGTCCAGTGGAGGTGTGGTCTCCTACCTGGTCCAGTGGAGGTGTGGTCTCTTACCTGGTCCTATATATATTTTGGTGTGGTCTCTTACCTGGTCCAGTGGAGGTGTGGTCTCTTACCTGGTCCAGTGGAGGTGTGGTCTCTTACCTGGTCCAATGGAGATGTGGTCTCTTACCTGGTCCAGTGGAGGTGTGGTCTCTTACCTGGTCCAGTGGAGGTGTGGTCTCTTACCTGGTCCAATGGAGATGTGGTCTCTTACCTGGTCCAGTGGAGGTGTGGTCTCTTACCTGGTCCAGTGGAGGTGTGGTCTCTTACCTGGTCCAGTGGAGGTGTGGTCTCCTACCTGGTCCAGTGGAGGTGTGGTCTCTTACCTGGTCCTATATATATTTTGGTGTGGTCTCTTACCTGGTCCAGTGGAGGTGTGGTCTCTTACCTGGTCCAGTGGAGGTGTGGTCTCTTACCTGGTCCAATGGAGATGTGGTCTCTTACCTGGTCCAGTGGAGGTGTGGTCTCTTACCTGGTCCAGTGGAGGTGTGGTCTCTTACCTGGTCCAGTGGAGGTGTGGTCTCTTACCTGGTCCAGTGGAGGTGTGGTCTCTTACCTGGTCCAGTGGAGGTGTGGTCTCTTACCTGGTCCAGTGGAGGTGTGGTCTCTTACCTGGTCCAGTGGAGGTGTGGTCTCTTACCTGGTCCAGTGGAGGTGTGGTCTCTTACCTGGTCCAGTGGAGGTGTGGTCTCTCCTGCGAGCACTGGGCTCTGGTGTGACGGTCAGTTTGACCCGTAGGGTCTTCCTCTCACTGTGGTAGGACGAGTGATTGACCGAGGCGTCCACCACATCATAGATGGTGTGCATCAGACTGGACATGTCCTTGGGAGGAGGAGGAGGAGGAGTGGACGAACACCTGTTATTACCTCTGAGTAACAGCTTATGATTACACATGTTATAACACATTATAACCTTCTCAGTAAAGACAAAGACTCCACTGTTCCCTACATAGTGCACTATCAGGGCCTATAGAGCTCTAGTCTAAAGTAGTGCACTATGTAGGGAATAGGGTGCCATTTGGGATGCAGACATAGACATATGAGCCCTGGCCAGCAGCATACCACCCTGCATCCCACAGCTGAATTGCCTCTGAAGCCAAGCAGGGTTGGTCCTGGTCAGTCCCTGGATGGGAGACCAGATGCTGCTGGAAGTGGTGTTGGAGAACCAGTAGGTGGCACTCTTTCCTCTGGTCTAAAAAAGTATCCCTAATGCCTCAGGGCGGTGATTAGGGACATTACCCTGTGTAGGGTGCTGTCTTTCAGATGGGACGTTAAACGGGTGTCCTGACTCTTTTTGGTCACTAAAGATCCCATGGCACTTATCGTAAGAGTAAGGGTGTTAACCCCGGTGTCCTGGCTAAATTCCCAATCTGGCCCTCATGACCACCTAATCATCCCCAGCTTCCAATTGGCTCATTCATCCCCCTCCTCCCCTGTAACTATTTCCCAGGTTGTTGCTGTAAAGGAGAATGTGTTCTCAGTCAACTTACCTGGTAAAATAAAAAGAAGCCTTACCTCTTTAGTAACTTTGCCGCTGTTGTCAAAGTCGTAGAGGGTGAAGATCCATTCCTGACGATTATCTTCCTCCACTGATACGTCACACTCTAGGTCCTGTCGGCATGGAGACACCTTATTAATAAGAAGACAGCCTCCTGTCCAGGGTGTGTATTGGTACATCACGCTGCCTCAGTACAGGGCCGATCTGGCTGGGACAAGGCTTACTTGTCCAAGGCTTACTTACTTAATAACAAAGATATACCCCTATGGGCCCTGGTCAAAATTAGTGCACTATATAGGGAATAGGGTGCCATTTGGGATGAATCCTGGTGATCCTCTTTGCATGGAAACACAAACACAGTGACTTTATCAACCAGCAGAGGGCAGCAGAGTCAAGCCTTTCCTTTCCTATTGCAGCCCTACTGGCTGCTTTTCCACAGTTACTCACTCTCCCCTACTGGCTGCTTTTCCACAGTCACTCACTCTCCCCTACAGGCTGCTTTTCCACAGTCACTCACTCTCCCCTACTGGCTGCTTTTCCACAGTCACTCACTCCACCCTACTGGCTGATTTTCCACAGTCACTCACTCTCCCTTGCTGGCTGCTTTTCCACAGTCACTCACTCTCCCCTACAGGCTGCTTTTCCACAGTCACTCACTCTCCCCTGCTGGCTGCTTTTCCACAGTCACTCACTCTCCCCTACTGGCTGCTTTTCCACAGTCACTCACTCCCTTGCTGGCTGCTTTTCCACAGTCTCTCACTCTCCCCTACAGGCTGCTTTTCCACAGTCACTCACTCTCCCCTACTGGCTGCTTTTCCACAGTCACTCACTCTCCCTTGCTGGCTGCTTTTCCACAGTCACTCACTCTCCCCTACAGGCTGCTTTTCCACAGTCACTCACTCTCCCCTGCTGGCTGCTTTTCCACAGTCACTCACTCTCCCCTACTGGCTGCTTTTCCACAGTCACTCACTCTCCCCTGCTGGCTGCTTCTCTACAGTCACTCACTCTCCCATACTGGCTGCTTTTCCACAATCACTCACTCTCCCTTGCTAGCTGCTTTTCCACAGTCACTCACTCTCCCCTGCTGGCTGCTTTTCCACAGTCACTCACTCTCCCCTGCTGGCTGCTTTTCCACAGTCACTCACTCTCCCCTACTGGCTGCTTTTCCACAGTCACTCACTCCTCCCTACTGGCTGCTTTTCAAAGCAGGAATATAAACCAGTAAAATAATCACATTCAGCAAAATCTTGTTTATCCCCGTCTGCAATGGACTGCAGTGGAGAAAAGAAAAGAATAACGGGAGGGGAAGAGGAGGGGGGAGGCTGGACATTTCAGCCCAAGAATAACTCAGTCTTCACCGTATCAGGAAAAAGATTTAACAACTCAGTTATAGTTTCTGAAGACTTGTGATTACGAGGTATCTCACAGGACGGAATTGGAAATAACTTCTTGGAGCGGCAGGGGGCAGAGAGGGTGCTGAAGGAGAGAGGGAGTTGAGAATGGGAGAGAAGAGAGAGACGAGGACTCGAATTTGTATGAGTAGACGATAGGAGGAGATGACGCGAGAGCTTTGAGAGGAAGATCAGAGAGACCGGGAGAGACTGTTTGGGAGTTGGAGGGAGGAGGAGGAGGAGGGAGGAGAGAGAGGGAGAGAGGAGAGGGGAGAGGGGAGGGAGAGAGCGGGAGAGGGAGAGGAGAGGGAGGGAGAGGGGGAGAGGAGGGAGGGAGGAGAGGGAGAGGGAGAGGGAGAGGGAGAGGAGAGAGAGAGGGGAGGGTGGGAGACAGAGAGATGGAGAGAGAGAGAGAGAGAGAGAGATAGGGAGAGTGTGAGGCATTGTGTTTAGAGAGGAGGGAGGGGGGAGGAGACCCCTGGGAGAAGAACAGTTCTTAATGTCTCAGTAATATCTCCCTTCATGTTAGGTGACTGATTACTACAGTCAGAGGATCTGAGTGTTTCTTATAAACACCTAGCATGTAGTGTACACCTACATTCAAAATATAAGATCTAGAGGAAGATATAAAAACAGACTAGTGTCTAACTTACATCCAGGCTGATGCGTTTCTTCCCAGAGGCTTTGCCTGCATCCCCTCCTCTCAGTAGCAGCCTGTCTGGGTCTGGGTCTGAATGGGGGTACTGCAGGTAACTGTTACAGCCCTCAGCAGCCTTCTCTGGAGGCAGCACCACTGGAACAACACAACAACACACTTTAAACATCTTGATCTTGATCTTTATTCAGACCCCATTAGCTGACGCCATGACGACAGCTAGTCTTCCTGGGGTCCTAAACACAACAGCACAGCAATGTAACAGATATGACGACAGCTAGTCTTCCTGGGGTCCTAAACCCAACAACACAGAGACATAACAGACATGAGACTGTACAACTATTGAAGACTTTACAACATCCACTTGGAATAGGACATACATTAGGAAATACATTTTTCATCATGGACTCATATAGAATCTGGACACAAGATTGTTATTCTACTGTACATACAAGTAATGTATTAATTTTGCAGTATCATTGATTGTGCCACATGTAACTAACACGTTCAAAGTGATGACAGATCAGTGCCCGTATCCACAAAGTGTCTTTGTCTCAGTGTAGGAGTGCTGATCTAGGATCAGTTAGCCTTTTAGATCATAATGAATAATATTATATGGACAGATCCTAGGTCAACACTCCTACACAGAGACACAGACACTTTGTGGATACGGGCCCAGATCTGTGCTCTGCAGATGAAAGCATTTATTCAAATCCTACCAGTCTGAAACATTGAAACATGTATTGTTCTACTTACCCTCTAGGGGGACAGTGATGGTCTAAGGACTGTCTATCCTTCAGCTCACTATGTGGAAACTCCTAGGAGTGGAAGAGTGACAAGACATAGGAGGAGAGAGAGAAAGGGAGGATTAGGGAGGGGGTTAGCTAGAGAGAGGAGAGAGGGAGGAGGAGGAGGGAGGGATGGGAGGAGGGAGGGAGGAGGGAGGGGAGGAGGGAGGGAGGGAGGGAGGGAGGGAGGGAGGGAGGGAGGGAGGGAGGGAGGGAGGGGAGAGAGAGAAAGGGAGGAGAGAGGGGTTAGAGAGAGGGTTAGAGAGGAGAGAGAGGAGAAGGGAGGAGAAGGTGTAGAGAGAGAGAGGAGGGATGGGAGGGAGGGAGGGAGGAGGGCGGGAGGGAGGGAGGGAGGGAGGGAGGGAGGGAGGGAGGGAGGAGAGGGGTTATAGGAGAGAGGAGCGGGAGGGAGGGAGAGGGAGGAGAGAGGGGTAAAGAGAGGGAGGAGAGGGAGAGGGAGTGAGAAGGAGGAGAGAGAGAAGAGAGAGGGAGAGAGAGGGAGAGGGAGGGAGGAGAGCGAGAGGGAAGGAGAGGGAGGAGAAAGGGGAGAGAGAGAGAGAGAGAGAGAGAGAGGAGAGGAGAGAGAGAGAGAGAGGAGAGAGAGAGAGAGAGAGAGAGAGAGAGAGCCAAACACTTAGAACATCTGCATGCTTATAGTGCTTTACTGTCTGGGACGGGCAGAGAAAGAGCCGCCACTGCCAAGCTTTCACGCTGCCTCCAACACCCACAAAACTCACTCCTGCATCTATCAAAACAGACATACAGTGCATTCGGAAAGTTTTCAAACCCCTTTACTTTTTCCACAATTTGTTACGTTACAGCCTTATTCTAAAATTGATTAAATTGTTTTTTCCCCCCTCATCAATCTACACACAATACCCCATATTGACAAAGCAAAAACAGGTTTTTAGAAATGTTTGCAAATGTATTTTAAAAAAACCTGGAAATATCACATTTACATAAGTATTCAGACCCTTTACTCAGTACTTTGTTAAAGCACCTTTGGCAGCAATTACAGCCTTCTGGGCCACTCAAGGACATTCAGAGACTTGTCCTGAAGCCACTCCTGCGTTGTCTTGGCTGTGTGCTTAGGGTCGTTGTCCTGTTGGAAGGTGAACCTTCGCCCCAGTCTGAGGTCCTGAGCGCTCTGGAGCAGGTTGCCATCAAGGATCTCTCTGTACTTTGCTCCGTTCATCCCTCGATCCTGACTAGTCCCAGTCCCTGCCGCTGAAAAACATCCCCACAGCATGATGCTGTCACCAACATGCTTCACCGTAGGGACGGTGCCAGGTTTCCTCCAGATGTGACATTTGGCATTCAGGCCAAAGAGTTCAATCTTGGTTTCATCAGACCAGAGAATCTTGTTTCTCATGGTCAGAAAATCTTTAGGTGGGCTGTCATGTGCTTTTACTGAGGAGTGGCTTCCATCTGGCCACTACCATAAAGGCCTGATTGGTGTAGTGCTGCAGAGATGGTTGTCCTTCTGGAAGATTCTCCCATCCTCCACAGAGAAACTCTAGAGCTCTGTCAGAGTGAACCATCGGGTTCTTGGTCACCTCCCTGACCAAGGCCCTTCTCCCCCGATTGCACAGTTTGGCCGGGCGGCCAGCACTAGGAAGAGTCTTGGTGGTTCCAAACTTCTTCCATTTAAGACTGATGGAGGCCACTGTGTTCTTGGGGACCTTCAATGCTGCAGACATTTTCTGGTACCCTCCCCCAGTTCTGTGCCTCGACACAATCCTGTCTCGGAGATCTACGGACAATTCCTTCGACCTCATGGCTTTTTTCGCTCTGACATGCACTGTCAACTGTGGTACCTTATATAGACAGGCGTGTGCCTTTCCAACATGCATGTTCAATCAATTGAATTACCTCTGGTGGACTCCAATCAAGTTGTAGAAACATCTGAAGGATGATCAATGGAAACAGGATGCACCTGAGCTCAATTTTGAGTCTCATAGCAAAGGGTCTGAATACTTATGTAAAGGTATTTCCGTTTGTAATTTTATATAAATTTGCAACAATTTCTAAAAACCTGTTTTTCGCTTTGTCATTATAGGGTATTGTTGTATGTAGATTGATGAGGAAAAAAAATAATTTAATCAATTTTTGAATAAAGCTCTAACGTAACATAATGTGGAAAAACTGAAGGGGTCTGAATACTTTCCAAATGCACTGTATGTGCTCTGTCATCTTGACCTGTTCCAGGAGAGAGGCTGAGTCCCAAATGGCAGCCTATTCCCTATGTAGTGTGTTACTTTTGAACAGGGCACATAGAGCTTTGGTTAAAAGTAGTGCACTATAAAGGGAATAGGGTGCCATTTAAGATGCATCCAATATTAGTTCTGATTTTACTTGACAGGGCATTGAGAGGTGGGGGCTTGGGATTTCACATGGAACGGTTTGACAGGGAGCTACAGTGGGATGTGATTCAGTTTGAGTTTTTCTGCAGAAGTGTTGGAGTTGTTCTAAACTTGATGAAAAGTCATGTCATCTTTTTTGAAACTGCCAAACATGAAATAAGAAACTTTTCAAGTGCATTGCAACAGGAGCATGGGTGTGTGTTTGAATTGTAGTAAAATTGCCAGATGGAAAATTCCAGTCAGATAGGATGGGACTGATTAAAGACAAAATTCCAAAGCCATGCACAACTGGAGGAGTGTGAGTGTGTGTGGTGTGTGTGTGTGTGTGTGTGTGTGTGTGTGTGTGTGTGTGTGTCTCCCGCCGAGTGGTGCTGCCTGAGACATGTGACAGGTTTCTGAAGACTTATTGCTAGTTCTCACTGTTCTATCTAGGGGACTTTTAACAAACAATCCACTTTAAGTAGTGTCTGGTGGCTGTTCTGGTCTCTACCAGAATCTCCTCACTGCCTCACAATGGTCTGCGCCCCAAATGGCACCCTATTTGTGTGTGTGTGTGAGGGGATTGAGGAGACGGGGAGAGAGGGGGAAAATCTGAGAGTATGATGTCACAAGCGTCAGCATAAATAATCCTTGTGCTACATTTTTTTTTAAATTATTTTTTATTTAACCTTTATTTTTTCAGGGAGCCATACTGAGACCAAGGTCTGTTTTACAGATGAGTCCTGAATTACCAACATTACAGAAATACACACTGCAAATTATAAATAGAAAATGCAAGCAGAAAGAAAGAAAACATTCATCAGTAATAAGATCCTCAATCAGCTTTCTGAATTGCCCTAGAGGCACCAAAACATTTTAAAGATTGGTCCACAAATAAGGTCCCGGAAAACGTATTTTCCCATAACACAGAGAGAAAGAAAAAAGAACTTCATGTACCTTTGACAAGAAATAAACTATGCTCAACTCAACAGGAATCTGAGGCACATCTGCATGCGTTTAGGTGTGTGATCGTAGCCCATCCCCCCCCCCCCCCCCCTCTCTCTCTCTCTCTCTCTCTATCTCTCTCTCTCTCTCCCTCCCCTCTCTCCCTCCCTCTCTCTATCCACTCTGCTGGGTGTCATGGTTAGACCTGGGACACACTGCATATTACCCACCAGAGACGAGGAGAGAGAGAGAGAGAGAGACGATGAGAGAGAGAGATGAGAGAGAGAGAGGAAGAGATGAGAGAGAAGAGAGGAGAGAGAGACGGAGAGAGGAGAGGAGAGAGAGGAGAGAGAGGAGGAGGGAGGAGAGAGGAGAGAGAGAGAGAGGAGAGGGAGAGGAGAGAGAGAGAGAGGGAGAGAGGAGAGGGAGAGGAGAGGAGAGAGAGAGACGGAGAGGAGAGGAGAGATGAGAGAGAGAGGGAGGAGAGGAGAGAGGGGAGAGGAGGAGGAGGAGGAGAGAGGAGGAGAGAGAGAAAAGATAGAGAGGAGGTAGAGGAGAGGAAAAGGAGAGGAGAGAGGAGAGGTGAGGAGAGGAGAGGAGAGAGGAGATAGAGGAGGAGGAGGAGAGGAGAGGAGAGGAGGAGGAGAGGAGGAGGAGAGGGAGACAGATGTAGAGTAGGATGGAGTAGAGGGAGGAGAGGAGAGGGAGTAGGAGGAGGTGTAGGAGGAGGAGGAGGAGGAGGAGAGAGGAGGAGGAGAGGGAGGAGAGGAGAGGAAATAGAGTGGAGGAGAGGGAGGGAGGAGGAGGGGAGGAAGAGGAGGAGGAGGAGGGGAGGAGGGGAGGAGAGAGGAGGAGGAAGAGTAGGAGGAGTGGAGGAGAGAGGGATGGAAGAGGAGGAGTGAGAGAGTGGAGGAGAGGTGGAGGAGGATAGGGGAGAGGAGAGGAGAGGAGGAGGAGAGGTGGAGGAGGGGAGGTGGAGGAGGAGAGGTGGGGAGGAGAGGGAGGAGAGGAGAGGAGAGGAGAGGTGAGGAGGGGGAGGTGGAGGAGGAGGGGGATGGAGGGAGGAGAGGTGGATGAGAGGTGGAGGAGAGGTGTAGGAGGAGAGAGTGGAGGAGGAGAAGTGGAGGAGGAGAGGAGAAGTAGAGGAGAGGTGGAGGAAAAGTGGAGGAGAGGTGGAGGAGGAGAAGAGAGGTGGAGATGGTGGAGAGGTGAAGGTGAGGTGGAGGAGAGGTGGAGGAGAGATGGATGAGGAGAGGTGGTGGAGAGATGGAGAGGTGGAGGAGAGGTGGAGGAGGAGAGGTGGTGGAGAGATGGAGAGG